GCCCTGACATGGTACCACCCACAGTGCGCTGGGCCTCCCACATCAATCACCAATCAGGAAAATGTCCTACAGACTTGCCTACGGGCAATCTGATGGAGGCCTTTTCTCAGTTGAGGTTCCTCTTCCCAGATAACTACAGCTTGTGTCACATTGACAAAATAACTAACCAGGACACAAGGCAAGTACTTGAGGACTGAGGCATCTCCTCGGTTGCTGACCTGCCTTTCCTCCCTCAGGACACACTTTCCTAGTGTCTGACTCTATCCATGACTGATGAGTCTCTTTCATTACTCCACCACTGTACTTCCAACAACTCGGTTTTTTGTTTTGTTCTTTTGGGACCTTCTGGGAAAGAAGGAAATATATATGTATACATCTCTGTGCACACACACACACACACACACACACACACACACACACACACACGTTTGCCTACACACCCTGCTAAAATTAGAACAACAAAGGAAATTCTTTATTTAAAGAAGGGGGGCTGGAGAGATGGCTTGGGGCTGGAGAGATGGCTCAGAGGTTAAAAGCACTGACTGCTCTTCCAGAGGTTCTGAGTTCAATTCCCAGCAACCACATGGTGCTTCACAACCATCTGTAACAAGATCTGATGCCCTCTTCTGGCCTACAGTCATACATGCTGTACATATAATAAATAAATAACTCTTCGCCGGGCGGTGGTGGCACATGCCTTTAATCCCAGCACTCGGGCGGCAGAGGCAGGTGGATCTCTGTGAGTTTGAGGCCAGCCTGGGCTACCAAGTGAGTTCCAGGAAAAGCCCGAAGCTACACAGAGATACCCTGTCTCGGAAAAAAAAAAAAAGAAGGTCTAGAACTGAATAGTGACGGTGGCTGCTCCATAGAATGAATGTGCTATAAGTCACTGAACCATATATTACATAGTTCAAATGATATATCTTATATTATATACATTTATACCTTTGAAAATGATTTTTTTTCTTTTAGACAGGGTCTCACTTTGTAGCTCTAGGTAGCCTAGAACTTGCAATGTATACTAGATGGGCCTTGAACTCACAGAGATCTGCTTGTCTCTGCCTCTTGATTGCTGGGATTAAAGGTGTGTGCCAACTTAAAAAGTGACTTTTTAAAAGTGGGGTGGTACAACCTGTAATCCCAGCTCTTGGGAGGTGAAGGTAAGAAGATCAGAAGTTTAAGGTCATTAATACACAGCAAGTTCAAGGCTAATCTTTAATACATGGTATTTATCTTTAAATGTGTGTGTGAGTGTGTGTGTGTGTGTGTGTGTGTGTGTGTGTGTGTGTGTGTGTGTGTTAAGAGTGGTTCAGAGCACTTGCTTTGTGACCGTGAGGACCAAAGTTCAAATCCCAGGAAGCTGTGTGTCCCTGCATATACTATGACACCAGTTCCAAGGAGGTGGAGGCAGGAGGATTGCTGAGTTTGTTGGCTTTCAGCCTAGCTGACACTAGAGTCCCCATTTCACAGAGACCCTGCCTATAAGGAACAGGTGAAGAATGTTGAAAGAGGACACCACATGCCTCTTTTGGCCTCCACATGTATAATCAAGAGCACATCTCTATCCTGTGTGCTGTGTGTGTGTGTGTGTGTGTGTGTGTGTGTGTGTGTTGTGTGTGTGTACCTGCCTGTGTATGTGTGTGTGAACACATGTTCATGTGCACATGTATGTGTAGGTGCACATATGTACACTCACAGACACATACTGTACACATACATAAAATTAATGGCAAAAAGATTTTAAGAAGTATTTGATTATTTAAATATTTCCTACATTTCTACAATGTATTTTGATCTTATCTACATCAAATAGAGCAGTGTCTTCAGCAATAGGTTCTTACCATCTAGCTATGAAGGGGCCTCCAAGAGCAATGACAGTAGTCTATGTTGTATTGGGGTCTCTGGGCCTTACTGACCAATAACCCATAGGGAGACAAGCTGGGTCCGGTCCTGAGGTTTCCATTCAATAACTCAGGTCTTTAGAGCAGCATTGTCCGCACTTGCCGGCTACTTCTGTTCTAACAAAAACTGTTGTTAGAAAATGACTGCTTTTGACCTGTGTGACTTAGAGATTGCTCTTTGTAAGGGATGAAATGAGGGTCTGAGGACATTCCTACCAGGAAGCAGAGACTTGTCCTTGCTCACCCAATTCTCAGGCTCAGCACAAGTGTTCCTTTCTTCCTGTGTGAGCTTCTATGAGCTGGACCTCTCCCTGCATCCCACAATAGAGATGTGATACCCATGTGTGTTCTCCACTCAAAAAGGACCCACTTGTTACTTGAGTGCAGGATCAGAACCTGGTCCCCAGCAGCTTTAACAAGCCAGGCTTGGTCATCTGTCATCAACAAGACAATGAAAGAGACGG